TCTGCACCCAGGTCTGCCTACCTGGGGCCACTAGATCCGGCCTGCCATGGAGCCCCTCCTCTGCCTCAGCCCAGCCTACCTCTGTCCCTAACATCACATTTCAGCAAACACTGCTGCTTGCCCGTAATCCGAGTCAGCGGGCTTGACTGGAGCACCTCATGTGTCCTGGGCACCTAGAGAAGACTGGATGGGACACAGCAAGAGGCAGGACATGGGGCCATGGTGTGTGTGAAACCAGAGGCCAGCTCTCTCTAGAGCCCTGCAGAGGGCGTGGTTATGGAATGCCTTCGAGCAGGGAGCAGCCGTCCCAGTGGGACCTGCCATGGACAGGCAAGTGGGATCTCGAGGGATAAGTGGACCCGGACAGGCACGGGGGAGGAGGGAGCTCAGCACTAGCATGAGGTGGCGCATGGTGTGGGCCTGGCACTGGTAAGGACAGTGGCAGGGCTGACTCAGGCGTGGAAGACTGTGGGTGCCCGAGGGGGCTGGAGCTCCAGCTGACTGGAGGCGTATTTAGTTGGGAGGAGTGTTCCATAGGTGGCCACCGGTCAGGCAGGAGAGAATGTTCCTGAACAGAGGATGAGGATGATTGGAGCTGTGGTCGGTATGACAGGAAGCCCCAAGACCCCTCTATTCCCCTGCCTGGGGTCTCTGTGGTCTGCCGACTGCCCTTCTCTCCTCCTCCCTGCTGCGGGCTCAGGTTCCCGCTTTCTCCCCTTCAGACTCAGCCCCCCAGGTTGACTTGGGAAGGGCTCATAGTTTCCTTAGTCTCCTCATTCCGTTGATGCTTTTAGGACTAGTCCATAGACCTTCTCAGTCCCAAGGGTCCCCTGGATCTCTGCGGCCTGCCTCCCTTCTGAGTCGGTCACGGAAGCTGGTTTGGACATCGCCTGCACTTGAGCTCCTGCCGGTGCAGCTTGCAGGAAACTGCAAAGAGGCTGAGTTTCCTTGCTCTGATTTCTCGTAATTGGAATTGCACAAACCAACTCCTCTTCCCAGCACAAGAAGCCACCTCGCCAGAACAGCCTGGGCTGTTGCACTCCCAGGGAGAGCCGG